CACCCAGATCACAAACTCAGCCAAAATGCAACTGGGGGCATTTCTGGATGAAAACTCAGATTTCTTTTCAGTGCAGTATTTGGTGAAAAAGGGAAGAACTTGGGGAGGTGTGCATGTCTAATCCTTAGCCAGAGAGATATGGCTAAGAATCTCTTCCAGAGCTTGCCATGTAGAAGCAGCTAGAATGATCCAAGGATTTTATTCAGCTCCTCACACATGCTGGACAAGCTGAGTTTTCCCTTATTTTAAGGAACTGTTCTTTACTTCTTTGATCTGCTGCAGGAAGGAGAAATCTGAGTGACTAAGTAGACACATCTTTGCTAAAGGCTGCTTCATTTTCCAAAGTCATATTATTCTCTCAGATGAAGCATACAGATTTTAATTAGCGTCAAATCAACAGTGGTGTCATATGTAGTTTCTCTAAATTTGAAGGAGGTATATTTTATAGACATTACATAAAAATGACCTCAGCAACTACTTAAGTACAGGAAGCTATGCTCAAAATTTATTTCCAGGATAACCTAATCCTACCTAAAAAAAAGTAAGGTAAAAATTACTGTATGTGTAGACTTCCAGAAGCTAAAAAGTGTGGGATCAAGTCACCTTTTTAAAAAGGATTAAATACTAGCTGTATTAGGCACAGCTGGCTCTGTTAGCACAACACAGAAATGCTGCAAAGAAGAAAGGGAGATTATAATTTAAGTTTCTGTCTATGATTTATGTATTTCAGTTGGTTGAATTGCATCCTTCCTAATGAATGCAGTGAATCATCTAAATCACTTAAATTGAGACTGGGAAATGGCAGAGTTGTTTCTCCCCTTACCAGTGCTTTTGCACCACCAAACACTACATCTTGTTAGGACAATACTTCAAGTATTTGCTAACAATACATTAGTTCTCCATTCAACATAGAAAACAATTAATGACTTGGCTGAGAAGGTTATAACTTTCTGTGGGACCAATAATGCCATAAGCTATGGAAACATCAGTATGTAGTAATGGGTAACTATCGGAAACAGAATTGAAAAGGGAATAATGCGTTGTATAACTATTTTCCGTACAGCAGCAAAACCACACTTGATTTCTTCACACATTCAGGAAAGTTTCAGGGCTACTGAACAGATTCTGATCTTCACAATAATGTAGCTCTTCAAATGTTGTTTTCTTTAACATTGCTATATAACACCCCTACAATTCATTAATATGTATTTTTACATTGACATGTCAGTCTCCTAAACTACAGAACTCATTCCATCAGTGGAATAAAAATCATGTCAAGATGGTAACATGTCATCAGCTCTTGATTCTGCTTTTGCATAAGTATCTGACAGGACAGCAGGAGCCCCCCAAAGTATCAAGCACACAATGAAAGCAGAACCTCTGAGAACACAGGCACAGGATGACTTCAGATGACTCAGTGTATAAATATGAATCAAAAATGGTCTGTTACTGATGCAGCCTTTACAGCTGGCTAAAAATCAGTCTTTGAGTATAACAAAGATCATGTGTAAAATATTCCATATATGGCAAAAACAGAGGAGATAGAAAAACATAAAAAGATAATTGCTTCTAAGAGAAAAAGAACAAAGGACAGAGTGAGCAGAACTGCTCCAGCATTGCCATCCCCATTCCAATATACCACACCAGATCAGCCTATTTATCCACCCAAGTCCTCCTTCACCTCTGTGGAGAGAGAGAGAGGTGTTTTTTGGTTTGCCACCCACCACATTTTGCTAATGCAACTCAACAATCATACATAAAGCATTTTATTTTAGTATCTAACTGGGTGAAAGAACAGCATGTGTATGGGTGCATGTTTTCTGCTCCAGCCTTCCCATAACAGTAAGACTGATAACCACAGCACTGAGCCTGAGTAAACTCAGAGACAGGAACAGACTGAGCATAATATGTAGTGTTTTCTGTCTGGGGGTATTATTTTGACTGATTGTGTATGTGCGTAAGAGTCCACGAGACTGAGTAGCAAAGTACATCTATATTGGCATGTATGCTTTGTTCAGATCCTTGCTAAAGCTGAGAATAAAGTAATCATGTTAGACAGCTTCCAGAAACCAGCTTTTAAGAATGCCGTTTTGATTCAGTCCTTTCAAAGAAGTAAACTATACTTTCAAATCTAGTTTACGTTAACTACAGAAAGAAAAAGTGTTTGACTATGTGCTTTTTTTTTCTAACTCTCAATAGCAGAACTGACAAGTTTCCCCCCTGCCTTCCTGATATTTTTTTCTTGTAAGCATTTTTCTTTTTAGTTATGTTGTTTAAAATGCAATGTTGCCAATGAAATATTGCTAAAGGCTTTGGACTGATGCCTTCTGAAGCTTCCACTTTTCCTAACTTTTACTAGCAATAAAGAATTTGTTTCTAGAAACATGTAATTTCAATTACAAAATTACTCCAAAAGCATAAATGGAATTTAATTGGTTACAAAGTAATATTTTTCACATAATCAAGGGATTGTTTGGGGGATTTAAGGCATAATTTATTAGTTCTGGATAAGGTGCACATTTTGAGTCCTACAGGCAAATAACAAACTGATTAGTAAGTGTAATAAAGCAGTTTATTTGTCTGACAATTGGCAGCTAGAAGTGCAATAACTTACTTGATCAATTGCCATTTTAAAGAACATTAAAGCTTCTCCTAATTATGGTATCTATATGGTATGCAGATGAACAACAATAGAGCATTACCCCTATGACACTAGTGATTTAATATGATGTTTCTGCCAGGTTTTGTACCTTTCTACATAATGCAAAAGGAAGTAATTACTTTTTGTACTGAAAGATTGAAGAATTGACTCCCTTTTAGATATGCAAAGAATTTGACTATAGGAAGAACTAAAGGTGATAGCTTCTCTCGATCAAATTTTTTCTGATATTCAAAACCATGCATGTCAGTTTTGAGAAAGAGTCTTAGCTTTCCAGTCATTCAGTTCTTCAGAATTCTGTAGTTGTCAAGTGAAGATAGCCACTTCTCTCTGGCAGGAAGCTTTTCCAATTTGTTACATAAAATGAAGTTCTTCTCGTGTTCCTTAACTCAATTACTTTGTCAGGTAACATCAATCGCTAACAGCTTTTGGAGTCCAGTTCTCTGATGGCCTAGCCTCACTGAATTCAGTGGATCTAAGCCAACACAGGAAGCCACCACAGAGCCAATAAATACAAGGCATGTTTCAGACACACATCATACAATGGAAAAGACTATGACAAACGTCTAAGATCACCTTTTTAAGATCAAATGATACTTCAGTGATCTAGGTAAGGAAATATTTACCAGTCAGAAGTTCAGATGAACTAGAGTACACTGCCTTGAGAAAGTCAATGGAGATTGCCTTGGTTCCCTACCGTTTTACTGAAAACGTCTTACACCGAATTAAAAAGAAAACCTGGAAAAAATATTACATTAAAATCACACAAGTTTCAAGAAAAAGTGAACAAGTTAAAAAACTTAAACACAAAGACAAATGAGATGTGATATACCGTGACACGCAAAGACACCTAAACACCAACACATTCAGAAAACAGTTATTCTCATTTCAACCCAACATCAGTACAACTAACCCCATTCTTCCACTACTCTTAAAGAATCGCATTTAAAACAGATTTACAATGGGGATCTATTTTAAAGTCTTTGGCAGAGAATCAATTCTGGAATGCTATTTTGTGCTATATGAGAAAGGTCAAAAAAACTTGTTAAAATTCTAACAGAATTTAAGTTTTAATGACTGGAAACTTATGTTCTGTATCACTGAAAACTACAGAGCAGAGTTTCTATTTTATTGCTGTTTCTTATTAAGCCAATCTACAAAAGTACAGGCCTACTAGTAAGAAGCTCAATATGTTTAGATTTCTAACACAGTGTTCTGAGAGACCTTATATAATTTAATTTTCATAATAAATATTTTAACAAGTCATACATTCCCCTTCTACACTATGAGCTTTCAAAAAAAGGTGGAGGAGCGCTAAGGAAATACCACAATTCATTCTTTGAACTCTTTATTCCACTGTCAAAATTGCAAATCACCTATCAACTAGCTTATCTTTTACCTGACTTCCTGAAAAGACAAGCAGTGGTAGATTTTCCTAGCTTTCTAACATCCACACAATCTGCTGTCACTAATGACTTCTACCTCAAATTGTCTCCTTAAAGTAGGGGAGCATTCTACTATCTTATTAACAGAGAACTGAAGTACAAGGTAAAGATAGCAAATTGTACAAACAAGCCTGTGGCTAAGTCGTGATTTCTTACATCTCTATCTTAGTCAGCCAGTTTATCCACCAGTTCCTCTTGTTGCTAGTGCATGCCTTTAATAACTCTACCATTCCACTTGCATAACACAACTTCTACCAACTCCTCCCCTTCACATATCACTTACTTTCTCAGAAATCTTTCCGGTTCCTATGAATATTCCCAGACCTCAGACGCAGTGATGACCAGGAGGATCTCCAACCTACAGCTGGAGGCTTCCCGCTTCCCCCTTTCCCCAGCAGTTTGCAATGCTTACAGATTCTAGAAAAGTTTAGCATTAATACAGATATACCTCTCTTGCCACTTATTTAGGATTTGCGTATAAGTTTGAGATGAAAACACAAAGTTTGTGAGTCAACCAATGCAGTACTCTCTTTGGCTATTATTAGTAATCACTAACTGAACCGGTCTAGCATTAGGTGAGAATCCTGCATGGAAAAAAGGCAAGCTTTCATTATGTAATCTACCTTTCAACTAACAAATTGCTGATTAATTCAATCTCTCACTACAGTCTCTATGGCAATAATTATTCCCCGTAGCAAATAACACCTGTGGCATTTAAAAGCGTCTCCCTACCCCATCCGACCTCCCTGCATAATAGGGATTCTGAATTTGTTCTACTTAAAAATCAACATAATACATTAATATAATTGCTAGAAAAATCCTTATTTTTCCAATCATGATTTTACACTGTACAGTATAAAGAACACTGCAGAGCTGCATTGCTGTATAGTACATACCCCATGTTCTTTAGCAGCCATAACCACTTTTGAAAGAATATCTTCTTCAACAAATGGCCTCACAGCGTCATGGATAATCACTACTTCTGGTTTCTGGAGCAGATGGTTGGAAAATTCATTCTCTGCAAATACTTTCAGTCCATTGAAAATTGACCGGTGACGAGTTATTCCACCTTTTACTATCATAACTCTTTTGTGGCCATATTTTTCAATGATAGACTTCATTGTTTCAATATTTTCAGGAGAGACCACCACAATAATGTCGGATATCCAACTTATCCTAGAAGAAACAGTACAAAAAGAGAGAAAGCAGACATGAATGACTAAATAAAAGTACAGATATCTCCATGAAACAAAAATTCGTATCAGAAGAAATTCAAGATGGCTAAATAAAGCATCTCTCAATATACTCAAGTCCATGGTTTTTGTGTGTGTATTAGCACTCCACCCCTACAGAGCTACATGAGAGGATCTCTACCACTACATGGATGTCAACCAAAGTAACTGGAATTCTGGGAGGGGACTTGCTTCCAACAACCGGTTTGCAGAGGGGAAAAAAGCGCACCTTCTGATAACCCTTTGAAAAGCTTTCAAAACACTTCTTACTTCAGCCTCATTCCTAGCTTCAAACGTAACTTCTAAATCAATCAACTACGGTCTGTTATTTTGGCTTTCTCTAAATTCAGCCTCCAATAAATTGGTAAATCCTGGGACTTGGAATACTCCATGTTCTACTGTGCAGTACACTGTGTGCAAGTGAATAAGAGGATCAAGAAGAACTCTGAAACAAAGATCACTATCAAGACAGGCATGAGCAGTAATTGACAAATTGCTAATGAATCAAAACTGACACTTGAATATTGACAGGAAACATTATACTGGTAGCTTGCAAAAAATACACATATACACACACACACAAAGGTTTCTGTTCTAGGAAGCTAGCAAAATGTAAAAACATAGCTATGCTAGGTAAAATTACCATAATATGAAAAGCATATTTTTAGAGAACTTCAAGCTTCTACTGTTGGTATCAGCCTAGCTCTACAACTGAGGGGTGGCGTGGGGGAAGAATGACCCACAACCCACAAGATTAAAACCAGTCATAACTGAAGTTAGGCTGACGTCATACTTGTGTCAAACAACCTAGGAATACAAATTATAGTCGCATGTGGCATACCGTACTTCAAAATAACAGAAACACCATAATTCAAATTCAGCTATTTGAGTGTCTTATTTCCTAAATGCTATGTAGAGAGCATAAACAAGGATTTAAAATTGTTTTATTTCCTTTCTGTGTCTCCAAAGATGACAGGAGGGTTTTTTAGCATGACAGACAAGAAACTCATCAGATCAGCAACGATTACAAAAACAATTTACTATTTACTATAGTAAAGTTACTCATGTGTAGCCTACACATCCAACTAGGAAGGGAGACAAGTAAGATATATTATCTCAACTAAAACTAGTAAAGGTATTGAAACTAATTTTGCAGACAAAAAACAGACTAAGGTATTAAATACTTCCAGTCAGAAAAACAAGAGTAAGGAATTTACAGTTCAGAAATATACAGACTCAAGGTATTGGTTTCTGCAATAACACATGAGAAGGCATTGCCTAGGAACTATCCTTACTCCAAAAGCAGTCATCTGTGATACAAACCACTCCCCTAGAACTATGTGACACAACAGAGCATCTTCCACCTTCTGTATGTTTTTTTGTAATTAATAGAATTCCATGGAAAATCATTTCAATAAATTTTAAAATAACTATTAAAAATAAAATAAATGGAAGTGCCATTAGCGTTATTCAAAAGAAAAATATTTGTCCTTATGCTCATTTTACTATTAACAAAGGCAGAAAATACAGCCAAACCAACATATTCTCAGCATTTTTTAAGTATTGAAGTTGTTCAAATCTAGAATCTGAAGTCATATGGTTTCAAGTTTCATTTCAACTTGTCACTCACCACAGGTTCATCAAAAGGTTTTCAAATCTCTCAAATGAGTTCTGGCATTGTCTTACATTTAGCCACAAAACTTAGCACCTCTGCATGAATTCAACTCAGAACTAGGGCAAACTAATTGGATTCATCTCAGTTCTTCTTTTGAATATTGAGGGTCAGTCGTTTAAATAAAGCAAAACTTGGGAAGAGTTATTTCACAGTAAAGGAGAATAAGAGCTCTGCAGAGCTCTTTACAGAAAGACTATAGCCTTACACAGTTCCCAGAAACAGTGGACAGTCTGCACATTCACCAGTGACTGTGTAAGAAGAGCACTAACATTTCCCATTCTGGAGCCAAATGAAACAGACTATGAGGCAACTGAGTAGTATGCAGCATCTTCTGAGAAGAAGGGAAGAGAACAGAAGTACTGGCCAGCCTATGATAAATCTCTGCACAGGGAGGGTGGAATGGCTCAAGGCCTCCAGTGGTACAATACACCGAAAAGTGACAGGATGCGGTCACAGCTCCACCCTGTGTCTGGATAAACACATTTATAAACTTGAGTATGTCCTCCTTAAACTCATTCTGGACTAATGTTCTATAATTTGAGCTGGGATTTAGAGATGCAACCTATTCATGTAAGAGTATAAAGGTATCATCTAGATTGATTAGGTACAAGAACAGCTTAGGCTTTGAAGCCTAACATGTCCCACCGAAACTCATGAAAACTACTAATTCAGTAGTGTATGCTACAAATTTTCAGGAACGAGAACTGTGCACCACACAGGTGCTTACTCTTTTAAAGACCTGTTCATGGAAATGTTGCGAAGTGTTTTAATGAAGTAGAAAGAGATCAGTATACCCTCAATCTGGCAGTAAATAGATTTTTTTTCCCTTCTCTCAATTTGTCACACCCTTTTCTTCAGAAAGATTTCATACTAAAATAGTAAGAAGCTCAGGACTTGCTCAAAATCAGTTTAAAAATAACTTTCCATTTTATAACCGTAATATTAGATCAAGATAATGCAAGCTTCAGAAAGAATCAGCACAAGGCATGAAAAAGATCATAATACCGTACCCCAATGTGCTTTAACAAGCACTAAATACAGAACTCTAGTGCTTCCATACAACATAGGCTGTAGTTCTAAAGTGGAAAATCAGGTCTGATCAAATGAAACAAAAGTAACAACCCCAGTTATAATCACTTTACAACTGCCTTGGGAGGACCTCAGTATCAGTAGGAGAACAATGAGGCAGAAAAGGACTATATGTTTGTTTCCTGCGACTGTCCTGGTCATCACCTACAGACAGACCGACCTAGCAGAAAATAGTACTGTTTCATTAAATATCAAACAAAAGTACATACATTTATATTAGCTGAGCTAGAACTCAAAGTAAAGGAGCTCGTTAGCTCAGCAACAGATGAAGCTATTACATGGCTTCACAACACAGACTGCACAGGAAATTAAATAACCAATGAGTTATGCTCTGAGACTGTATCACCTAAATGGCATGCTCAGGTACAGATGTGACTGAGGATTAACCTTCTATCAGTTCACTCACATACAAACCAGCGCTGAGCCTGAAATCTGACATAAGGCTTAAATACTCACACTCAGCTTCTTGCAACTCTTACTCAGACCAGTAGTAACAACCTATTTAACATATAACCTACTGAAATCAGCAGTTGTATCAGGAAAACAAGGCCAGAACCAGGCAGTCACTGCTGAGATGGCTCTGGTAGTGTGATACATGATCTTTCACTGCCACAGAAACTCTTCAGAGGTACAAGATAAATCATTATATTACTTTTGCTGATCTTATTATTCAAGTGCCAAATGAGAAGAAGAACAGTCAAGTTCTTTTGTCATTCACAACATGCATTTGCAGAATGCAAGCATAACCTCCTTTTGCTCTCTAACAGCTTTGCTATGACCGTTGATATATGAAAAAAAAAATATATGAATACATATGTATCTTCCACAGTACAAAAATAGAAGCAGGGAGCTTTTAAGTCTGAAAAGTTTCACAGGTACATTAAGGACATTTTGAGCATCTCATGTACAGAAGCCATCCATTTTTTCCTGACAGAAAGTGTTCCTTATTAGTCAGACAAGATAACAAAGATACCTTCATAAAGCTAAAACAATTGGATTGTTTGCTATGATTATTTTTAGCTCACAAGCAATTTCAAGAACAAGCTAATGATAACTGGACAAAAAGAACCATCACAATAGATACATTTAACAAAACTGTAATTGTGTGACCTGTAGAGCCAGTGAACATGCATCAGCCAACGGGGGAAAATACTTGGCAAATAAACTACACAAGACACTTCCAAAGAAGCGATTCTTTGGAAGCTCCCCCCAGGTTGTTTTTTTGATATCAGGCCACCTGTTTTAAGAGACTGCATTACAGTAAACAAAGTAAACAAAGCTGTCTGAAACCTTTATGGAAAATTTTTGTTCTGCCAGTAAACATATTAATTCTGCTTTCCTCTTTCATAACTTCTCACTGTACTTTGAACAACTGGTGAAAGATGAGCACAGCAAGAACAGCAGCAGCTTATTTGTTCCATAATGATTTTAAAATCAACCTTTACCTTAGCCTGTTTTCCTCTCTATAGCTTTAGTAAAATATGTGTGTGCATGTGCACACAGAGCTGAGATTCCTCCCTGTCTCAGCAAAGGAACTGGAAAGGTTCTATTCTAAACAAACATACACAAAAGAAAATTTAAAATGAAGGAAGAACCCTACTAGTTTGTACAGAAGCAAAAAGGAGGAATGCTGTTCTAGTTCTGTTGAACTTGATGCAAAAGCCTTGCAAAGTTCAACAAAAGCAGAAACAATTGCAATGGGAAAACCAGACATTTAAGTTGTCTAAACACACTTTAATTTTACCCCCAAGGTAGGACCTGACCTTCCTATCAGTACCACTGTACTGGCAATAAAAAACAATAATTTCTCCTCACCCTATTTTTTCTCACCTTCTCTTCCTAAGGGCATCATCTTTATTATTGGCAGGCCAACGTTCTACATGCTGTCATCCTATGCAACAGGATGCACTGCTTATTCATTCATGTCTGCTCTTGTCTTGTCTGCCAGTTTTTCCACATCAATATTTAAGATTCCAGTACTTTCAGCTGAACAGTGTAAAAATCTTTTTCTCCTGATTTTTAAAAAGCACATGCAAAGCAGCTGCAAATTCTCAATTTCCTCATGTATTTCTGTCTATATGTGGCTACATTTTTTCCAGATTAAAAAAGCTCAAAAATAGCTGCAGTAGCTGAGATAACCAGTTCAACAGAAGTTATTACAGGCTAATGA